GTAGGAGGCCCCATGAGATGCCCCTGGTACCTTTTTCATAGGCTTTTTTGAGTTTGGGCAAGGACACAGGGGCCCCATGATCCCCTATTGCCCGGGGGCCCCATGAGTTTTCAGTCCGCCCCTGCTCTGATGTTATGGGGCCTCTGACATGAGGCATCATCCCAGTTTTAAAATTTACAGCAACTGATGCCCTGCAAATCAGGAGATACAGCCACTCGATCATGTCTGCAGGGCGGTGGAAGGGGATTCCCCCCCTGATGCCACTTTCCTGGGCTCTCATGACAACTCTGACTGTCAGCATCATTTGCCTTACACAGAAAGAAAGGAACTAACATTGTTCCTCTTTCACTGTGACCCCAGAAACCATAAGAAATGGGGATTTCGCCACTTCCGGTTTCAAATCTTTGTTTAACTGACCGTGAGTAGCCAGGGAAGCAGCCAAGCAGACCAATCTGTGTTTGATCAGCTGCATTGGAGGCCATGACAGGCCATATAGAGACCTGTCATGGCCCAGTTTTAAAGTGCCCCTATGCTCACGAGAAAATGCGAACGTACACAAAAGTACGCATACATGTGTAAACGGTGTTCACACCACACATGTGAGGTATCGTTGCGAATGTCAGAGTGAGAACAATAATTTTAGCTTCAGATTTACTGTGTAACTCTAAACCGGTAACCTGTTAAGGTGTTTAAAGCGTTGCCTATGGAGGATTTTATGTACTATAGTTTGGCGCCATTACACGGGCATACACAATTTTAAAGCATCACATGTTAGGTATCTATTTACTCTGCATATCATCTTTTATATTTTACCAAAAAGTGGGTATTGTATTTTTTTCATGTCCAATACGATTTATGAATATGTATTTTTCCCAAAAAATTGTGTTTGAAAAGCCACTGTGCAAATGCCATAAGAGATAATACATTGCAACACCCAACATTTTAGTCTCTAGGGTCTCTGCTAAAAATTATATATATATATATATATGATGTGTGGGATACTAAGATATTTTCTAGGGAAAAAATATGAAGATTTTTACATAAATGTGAGAAGTGTCAGAATTGACCTAGTGTTGGAAGTGGAGAAAAAGCAAAAAAAAGGTAAGAAAAAGCAAAATGTGCCATTTTTTTCCCTGACCCTACTACTAACACAAACAGCAAATAATATGCACTTTCACTCACTGTTCACTCTATTAGGTACACCTTGCTAGTAGCACGTTGTGCCCCCTCTTGCCTTAATTCTTCCTGGCATAGATTTAACAAGATGCTGGAAACACTCCTCAAAGATTTTGGTCCATATTGACAGGAGTTACTGTTGCCTTTTTATCATCTCGAACTGGTCTGCCCATTCTCCTCTGACCTCTGCCATCAACAAGGCATTTTGTCCACACAACTGCTGCTCACTGGATTTTCTCTTTTTTGGACCATTCTCTGTAAACCTTAGAGATGATTATGCATGAAAATTCCAGTAGATCAGCAGTGTTTTAAATACTCAGACCAGCCCATCTGTCACAAATAACCATGCCATGTTCAAAATCACTTAAATGAATATTGTCTTAGTGGTGCAGCCAGTAGTTTCACCACAGTCTGCAGTAAGCAGAACATTTGTTGTCCATACTGGGACCACAGACAGAATAAAAGTTTACAGAAAGCTGTACTAGATGATTGGTTTTCATTTCTATTAATTGACATACGTCTCAAAATCAGCCAACAAATAACCTGTGATTTGTATTATCTTATTTCAAGCACTTACGTTACACACTGTATATATATATAAATGTAAACCTGTGTTAAGAGAAGTATGTAGATTCCCATTGCTTACTTCTTACTTTCTGGAGTGCTAACCCAGTGAAAATGTGCAGCATTTACAATAAGAACTGTTGATCTGTATTCTTTTTCCAGGTCAGGGACACAGAAAGTCATAAGATTAAATTGACAGCTGAGCAGCTAGCATTTTCAGAGGTCTGCAATAGCAACCTACATACATATTTGCTTTTAAAATAACTGCAGTAAATGAGCCTATTTTGTATCCACTCTAAAATGGAAATAATCAATTATTACTGCCTTACAATTATACAATTCAGTTAAGTAACAGTGCAGTGTCATGATGCCTTAAAATAAAACACATGTGGAATCTATCTTCAAGCAACATTACCTCTTCTGCCTGTGTAACTTGTAATTTTAAATCAACCATACAAATATAACTAATATGGATATTATTTTGTCTATCCCCCTACCACTATCATATCAGTTGCTATACTAATGCCCCTGATATTTTCTATAATAGCTAGTGCAGATACTGCCAGAACTGGATTTCCATTACTGGAGCCTGTAAGCACACATCGTTTGGTGCCCAAAACACTGCTTCCTCTGCCAGGATCACTTATTTAAAAACAAGCACTTTTTAATGGTCCTAACCTGTCTTAGTATATTTTGAAAATGTGTTAAAAAGTTCATATTATTGTATAGTGCTCCTATCCTGGGCTGACAAAATGTTGTGCTATGGCTAAGCTGTAACCAGCTGAGCTTAAATCAAACTGTTAGGATTCTGCAGGCTCTCCCTAAATCCGGTGCTTGATTACTTCTGCCTGTTGGTGGCAGAATGTTCCAGTAAATAGAGCGGGAGGATTAGCCTCTGGAATTATGAATATGTATCCAACTGATCCAATCCTTGGAAGGCTAGCTCAGAAGGTATGGTTGGGAGAAGGGTAAATATTTGGGAGGAGCTAAACAGTCTTTCCCTCACCTCGGGCTTCCCCTGGGAAAAGGCATGTGTGTTTGTGAAACCTCCACCTGTACTGCGCCAGCTTGTGCTAATGGACTGGAAGCCTGAAAAAGAAACATCTGTTGAAGCTGGGCTGGAGAAAAAAATCCCTCACTGAAGAGTGTTGACAGGGACCTCAGTGAATGTTGCCATCCTAACATTGTGAGAAGGACCTAGAAGGACTTATAACCTACAGCTCCAAATATTGCGGAGCTTTCTTACTAAGGGTCAAATACCATATGGAACTACAGAAAGACTGTGACTGCTGTCAAAGAGTCATGGGTTTATGTGGCTATCCCCTTTTAGTCAGTAGTACTTTCTGATTGCTGCCTAAAGTGCCTGTTAATGCTGGGATGTTTCCTGAATCTATCCTCAGAGATTTTCTTCTGTCTAAGGTAGACTAGACTCTTAACCCTCCTCCCTGCATTTTTGTTTGAGATCTGAAATACATAGTAGTAAGACTTGAGCCTGAGTTTGTTGGTGAGCTATTGGGACTGGAAACAAGATTGGCATCCTCTGGACAAGTAAGGAGGACCCAGTTTTGTCAGTGGCTCCTTCTGCAGTCGTTGCTACAAATTACTATATTTACACATGATGGGGGTAAATGTGTTTAAAGCCTAACTACAGCTTAATTCCTTTTAAATTTGGATATAGTAGGGAATAGTTACAAAAGGTTTTTTATTTATGTTTGCTTTGTGTGTACCCCCATTGAGGAAATAAATAAGGAATAGTCTTCACAAAAGGGGCAAAGATTGCAATACCAACCTGACAGAAGCACTAACCTTCCTAAGCTCTATCCAAAGAAAAAATAACAGGTTTTGGCTGGAGATGGACTTAAATAACTCAACTGAGAAAAACACAACACCCTACTAAGCCTATTTGCTGCATGTGTTTCATTTCTGTCTTTTTTTTTAAAGAACAATGTTTATTTGGTATTTAAACATAAGTAAGCACACATAAAAAATAATATAATATAAAAGGTACATAGAGGTAAAAGGCTGATACTACCCTTACTGGGGTTATACTGGTGATTCATTATGAGCTAACACATTATATGGATCAATTACTAGCAATTATTATGTGACTAAGAATTGGTCAATCGAACAATTTAGAGCAAGTGGTTAGGTTATGCTCACTCCATTCTTTATTCTTTAATTAAAACTCTCCGTAAACTACTGATTGTGCTGTTGTACGATAAGCTGCAGGTATCATAATTTAAATGGAAGTTCCCGGAGACCTAAAACTATGTTAAGAATTCTTCCATGAAAAAATGTTTGAGAAAGGCAGGTCTACACCACACCTAATAACTTAATTGTTTTTTTAAAATGAACATATTTAAATGCAGCACTGATATTCTACCATGTGCTACCATATTTTTTTTTGCAGTGTACTGTATATAAATATCTTCACTTCTCACAGATAAATGTGTATCTTTTAGCAATGTTTTGGGATTCCTGAAGGATTTCCCTTGAAGTTTTACTTATTTCAAGTTCACCAATTTCCTTATCACAGCCAATAAAGTCCAGAATGGAAATAGAGAAGCTTGTAGTGAATGTTTACTGGAAATGGAAGGAAGCTGTATAATTGCAACACAAGCAATCTACTGGCAATGATTACAGGAATGGTTTAATTTACTGCTTGAAATCTACAGTAATTGTTTTATTGAAATCTCTACAGATAGTTAAGATGTTTGTGACATTTTGCACAAATGAAGATGGATGATACACATTTATTTTATATTGATATTTCTCTTTGTTTCTAAACAAAGTGATCAATGTAGCAAGAGTTTCATGAAACAAGATTTTAGGGAAGTTCCCAAAACAAGGAAACTTGCAGTTTTATTTGATTGTTCAAACTTCTGAAATGATCTTTTGCTGCTGCTGTGTAATTTACAGCTCTAGTCTATAGCGCAGAGAAATCATATCCTGAATGGGCATACCACATACTTAAAATAAACAAGTTTATACACCTTTTTATGGATGCTAAAACATAAAAGGCTATGCTTACACAAGAACAGTATCTTTTCCCTTTTTTCATTTTATGTGGGGAAATCAGTGACAGAATATATAGAACATTCAGAATCCTGTTATGTAGTAGCTACAAAATGTGTAGGGTATATATACTATGTGTTTTTATTACTAAAGCTGGAAAGTGTAAAATCAGGCTCACTTCTACATAGAAAACAAAGCATTTCTATTATAAAATATTGCACATAGGTAATTTTTCTTCTTCACTGATGTGCACTGATGAGGTTGCACTGATGGGCACTAATAAGCTGCACTGATACGCACAGATGAGGCTGCACTGATGAGGTGGCATTGATGAGGTGGCACTGATGGGCACTGATAAGCTGCACTAATGGGCATAGATGAGGCAGTACTGATGAGGTGGCACTGATAGGTGGTGCTGATGAGCATGGATGGGTGGCACCAATGTGCACTGACAGGAGCAGACTGACAATTCATGGGGCCCCTGGGCAATAGGGGATAATGGGGCCCTTGTGTCCTTGCCCACACACAAAGCACACCCAAAAAAACCTATAAAAAGGTACCAGGGGCATTTAATGGGGCCCCCTACTTACCCAGGGCCCTCAGGCAGTGCCCGAGTGCTCGAATGATCAGTCTGCCCCTAGGCACTGATGGACACTGATATGCTACACTGATGAGCATTGATTTTCACTGATGGGGCTTCACTGATAATCAGTTTTAAACCATGTACTGACAGCCTTGCTGGTTATTGGCTCTCCTTTCCCCACACAGACACAGCATGTGAGGGAAGGACTGCCGATAACCAGCAAGTCTGTTTATATGTGATCACCTGTTATTGGAAACAGCTATCACATGGTATAGGGCCACTGTAAATTGGCCCTTTACCCCGATTTGTGATCAGCTGTATCCAAAGGACAGAGCAATCACAGAGCATGCCCAAAGCGTCTTTTGGCTATAGCACGGTGTTAAAGGGGTTAATGAATATGTCCAAGTGTGTTGACTTGTTATAAATAAATTAGGAGCCTATTCAGGCTTGTGTGTTGCTGCAACTTGCAGTAAAGCATACATTTTACTGAGTGTAACCACAACACATGGTAATGTACAGTTTGCAATGATGTGTTGTAGTAACATTCTTGTAGAAACAAATATAATGTGTGGTGTGAATGGACCCTAAATAAGGTATAGAAGTGATACTGACTCTGAAGTGGATATGTATAAATTATGATTCCTTTCTCTGTCTGCAGGAAGGCCATATATTCACAGTATCTCAAATGTATTTGCACTGTACAATGACACTGCTGCAGATTTGGGTGTATAAGCAAAGGTCTTATAAAGCAGAGGATGATTGGCTTGGATGGGCACATTTTCTGCTGCTCTTTTTCTCCACCTTACCCTGTTAACAATAATGTGGATCTAAAAGTACTCAATAAATTATACCTAATATTATATTAATGCAAACATTACAAGATAAAATAACAAAACCAGCTTTTACTGCCACTTGATGTCCTCAGCCAATGATGGTCAACACCATTCAACCCTCGTTCTATAAGGCCAGGTAATTCTGGACCTGCCTCAGCCTGTGATTGGACAGTGAAATACCAAATGGCACAGTGATGAACTCCCAAGCTCTGTCAGTCTGCGTTCTCTTCCTATCAGTATTCGTCTTGGCAGCACATGAACTTATATTTGGTCTTTATACTGCTTCTTTCTCTCACATTATAGCCTTGTTGTACAGGGACTGCAAGAGGCTGATATTTTACCCAAATCAGGTACTTACACTGTATTTAAAAATAAATATATTGATGTATTACTGATTACAGAGCTACATTCATTTGTGTTTTATATCTCCCTAGAGTTCAGCTTTGAATGAGCTTTAACACATGGGCTCTTAGGGAAAAGGGAGCCGACTGTGCCCTAACACATACTACTCACATGGGGAAAATATAGGTCCATAGCATTTCCATGGGCCCCATCGTTTCATTAGATCATGGGGGACCAGGAGGCTGTAGGTAGTAGCCACAGAACCTCTTTTAATTTTTGGCATGGATGAGGTGATGGCCAGTCTGCATTTGCAAATACTAAGTTTTTAGTTCCGGTCACTGCAGCCCTGGCAGAGAGGTATATCTGCCTAACTCCCTCAGTAAGTTTGGTGCACGGGAATGTGTCCTGAGAGCTGGATTAGAGCTCCTGCAGGGGGCAACAGCAGTGGCAGGCTTGCAAGATCTAAGCAATTTTTTTTTGGTAGGGTTCTAATATGTGTATAGTATTAGAATGTGACACAGGCTGTAGTGTTTGCTATACTATTACTATTCTTGACAGGAGTAGTAATAGTATACAGTGCAAACACTGCTTGCAGTCATGAAATATGTAAAAAAATTAATCAATTCCTGCATCCACACAATCTTGAGGTGGGTGGGGGAATCCTCCCCGATGTGTCATTGTATTCTGACTGCAGAAGAGTCAGCCGGAGGTCTCCACTTTTGGAATACATTGATCAGCACTGCAGTCTTTTGGCAGCGGTGCTGATCAAACAAAAGTTTTTGAACAAGCCTGTTCATGAGCAGTCATTCAGTAGCTTGACTATGCTTAAACAGGACTAGCCATAGATGGATCAAAATTCATCTGGTTCCTGGTGAACAGGCCAAATATCGATCCATCTATGACCAGCTTTATTATAGTGGATCCAGTGGGCCAATACTAGAGCTTAGCATCTACCATTCTGTGCTGCATGGGACCTCCTGGCTGCTGCTGCATTGCACCTCTGTGAATGTTAATTGTAATGGAGATAGGTTATTTCTATGTAAGTGTGTCATTGTCTCAGCATTTTAACCCTCTCCTGCACACTTGTCTATCTTCTATTCTGCTTTAGTTTTTGATATCCCCAGATCTTACTGAGATGCTGCAGGAACTCTTACACTATGGAATACACAAGCTGATGTATGTCTAATATTGCTATCAGCCAAGTGTTAAATTAATGCACAATATTGCTTGCTTCTACCCAGGGGCAGACTGACAACTCATGGGGCCCCCGGGCAATAGTGGATCATGGGGCCTCTGTGTCCTTGCCCAAACTCAAAAAAGCCTATGAAAAAGGTAACAGGGGCATCTCATGGGGCCCCCTACTGACCCGGGCCCTCGGGCAGTGCCCGAGTTTCCAATGGTCAGTCCGCCCCTGCTTCTACCAGAAAAAAGTACTTTTCTGTGAATTAATCCTTTAAAGGGGTTCTAAAGGCAGAATGATTTTACCTTAATGCATTTTCTGCATTAAGGTAAGAAACACTTCTGCATGCAGCTCATGCCCAGCCCCCTAAATACTTACCTAAATCCAATCTCAATCCAGTGAAGAACATGGGAGCAGCGACTCTCTCTCTCCTCACTAGACAGAAAGGCAGTAATTACAGCCAGTGAGGAAAGAGCGGGGGCAGGGCTGATGTGTCTATGGACACACAGTGCCAGCTCGAGAGTGAGCCTGCAGAAGTACCCCCATAGCAATCTGCTTGGTATGGGGGCCCTCAACAGGAAGGAGGATCCAGGAGTGCCAACAGATGACCCAAGAAGAGATCGATCTAGGATGCTATGTGCAAAAGCATTGCACAGAGCAAGTGTGACATGTTTGTTATTTTAAAAAATGAGTTTAGAATCACCGTAAGTGTGGCCAAATATAAAATGGCATTTGTTTAAAATGTTATGCTGAGAAAAAAATGTAAAGTGCTGTAACCCATGGCAATCTGTCAAGGGCAGATTTTCAAATAAGTTCTTGGCATATAAGTGATTAGATTTATGTGTAATATTTGCTCTTTGTTTTGTGCTATTAATTAATTTTCCGCATGTATAGTGTTTGCTGTTTTTATTTGCTCCCATATAACAAGAACTAGTGGAACTAAATATTTTATTTCTTTGTATGCCATTAGCAAATGTCAAAATGTGAAGCAGGTATTATTGATAAGAACATGAAAAAGAAAATAATTTTCTTCAAACTAAACTTGCAGCATAGTATCAAGAAAAAGAACAGAAAGACAGCAGATCCATCATACGTTACACTTGTGATGGCACAATTATCAAATAGGACCTAGATCACAAGATAACAAATTAAGAGTAGATGAAGCTGCAGTTTTCTGTATTAACTAGAGATTTCACCGAAAAAAAGGACATATGCATTTGTATAATATCTTAGGCTTAGTGAGGCTTCTTTTCACATCTGCAGTTTAGTAAAATGAAAGGGGAGGGCTGATGACAGCCAGGCTGGGAAAGAAGGGACTGGATGTATCTTGGTGCCTTACAGCCCATAAAGGAAGTTTAGTGATAAAGCAGCAAATAGTGCACACTATATATTCTATTATCAGGAGAGAGGGCTGTACAATTGGGACAGATTACAGGTAAAGATGGGGCTCATCTTTAACATTAAAGGATAAGTTCACTTTTGGGAACATGCTACATGTTCCTTCTGTTTTTTGGGGTGGAACACGTAGCATGCTTCCTATGCTGCAGCCGCCCCCCGCTGCCCCCTCCCTGTGACAGAAGTACAGGGAGAAGTTCCCCATATTAGCTGTCAGTAATTAATAACAGCACAGCCATGCGGGGCTTCACCCACACAGCCGCGTAATTCATTCACAGTGTTCTGTGAATTAATAAACTACAAGTCCTGACAGACTTAGCGGCTGTCGTCTTGTAGTTCTCAATGAACTACAATGTAGTTCTCCACAGTGCCGTGGTAGTTTATTGATTCTTCCTCTCAATATTTCAGGATATAATGACAGGTCTGCAAGACCTACATGGCACCAGCGATCTACTAATGGTGTAATGCCTTACAGGCTACGGCAGCTAAAAAAATAAATGCACATTTTTTTACCTGCAAAAAAATGTGCATTTATTATTTTTGTGCAAAAGGTAAACTCATCCTTTAAATCAACATTGAATTGGGTGGTATCTATAATGGCTAAGGCTCTCAACTTGGCATGGATGCTGCCACTAGAATATTCCCAGAGGTAGTGTTAATACTTTTGGCAGTGGACATCAGCTACATGGTTGCCAGTGACATGGTTGTCCCTGAGCTGGCACCAATTTGAGGATTCATGTAGTTGGAGCCTGTATTGCTGGCTGGTATCATTGGATAGGTAACAGATTCCCTTTAAAAGTTTGCTCTGTTGTTTAACATAAAAGTTTGACTAGAGCAATAGATTGAAGATCTATAAGAAATTGTTAGAAACTTTAAAAGAGAAAAGTAGTGCAACATCATTAGATTGTTTACAAGTAACACATCCCATCAGAATTGAGCTAGTTATGAAGAATAATGCTAAAAGAACCCTAACTTACTCTCCAGAGCCATATAATATTGTATGTTATGAAGGGAAGTCAATACTAGCAGCCAGGAAACAAAATACAGTTACAGATTGTTATTGACCAATGACAGTTAAGAAAACTTTCTTTTACCCTGTTTTGCAAACTCAGTAATTTATGTGCTTCTCACCCTGAAGGCATCCAATTGGGCACGTAAGCAACCTCATACTAGGTCTAGTGTTTTGACAAATGGAAAGTCGAAAAGCTGCCTCAAGCACTGAGCATTTATGTTAATTACAAGAACACTTTTCTTGGTGTACCTTTATCTCTACAATATTTCTTGGAAATGTGATCCAGAAAATATGAAGCGGTTTGCATATCCAAAAAACTTACCCTGTTATCACTGCATATATATATATATATATATATATATATATATATATATATATACTAATTGTGAACAGAGTGGAAACATTGTGATGTCCAGTGATTGAAATGAAATGATGTACAAGGTCCACATCTGTCTTTCCAAAATAAATTTCTTTCTTTAATAAGAATTTTAGGCTATATCATGCCAAATGGTGTTTCAGCAAAATTAATTTTATAGTCTTGTACAGAGGACCCAAGAGTGCTCATTAAGGACATTTTTACAGTCTCTTGGCATGCTGCCGGTCATGATATGCAGCTGAATCCTTGGCTCAACATGCTTTTTTAGCAGTGCTTATTTCGTAATAGATTTAACAGTTGTGTGATCCCATCATTTGTATACATGATTATTTAGCACAAAAAATCTATGATGTAGGAAAATGTTACTTTTAAATAATAATATCTGTAATAATAGTAATGCTCTGGTAATATTGTAATATGTAGTAGTATCTGTGCCACTTTTACTATCAGTGCAGTAGAAGGAATATGTTAATTTAGCAACTGTAGAAACATGCAGCAATATCTTATAGTGGAGTTTGACAGAGGGGTGTGCCAGTGCTGTAGATAATGATTGCCCTCTTTGTGGCCTGGCCTCTATGGGACACAACGACAAGGATATGTATCCGTGGTACATGGCTTGATTGCCAGTCCTTACATAATCCACTCTACCTTCTAAACAAAACGCCCTACTATTATTTCCTGCAGTTTTGAAAGTAGGGGGAGATGTAAGGGGAAGAGAAGAAGAATTTGGATAAACCATACACTACCATGTGTGTCAAAGTTTGTGGTCATTTTATATCTTCTTTTTTTGTCTTTTCCCAATCTGCATACTTTGTTTAGGAGATGATGGTCTGTCTGGACAGATCTGCATGACAATCTACTGTATATGTTATGGTTGAACAATGACGTAAATGGTTCAGGTGGTTGAGTAAAGGAGGACAATTTACTGATATATGGCCATACATTTTATAAATAAACCTTTAGTACATAACAAACGATTTTAGAGCACTTTTCGTTCTGAATAGAGAGCATAGCAGTAGCTGTCTTGTTTTAGGCATAATTTCACTTATAAAACCTAGCAGTGAGGTCTGGCCCACTCACTAGTAAGTAAATGTCACCTTACATTATTTAGCTAGGTAGAAACAGACTTTTTATAGCACAAGGGAAGAGTAGATACTGGAAAGCATTTAAATTTGAGCTGAAAGCTCCACCTGCTGGCTGGTAGAAAGCTGTGAACTCCACTAGCCACATGCTGGAAAATAATGCAACCAGTTCTTTCAGAAATATGCAGGATGAGCCTTCTAATATTGCACCTAATTGACTCTCTTAACAGATAGCAGTAAAACCTTGTAAATTAATTTGGTTGGGATACAGTGAAGTGAAAAGTCTGTGTCTGGCTGCCTCAGTATGTTGTATTGGCAGACAATTTCCTGAATCTCTGCATGGAAAGGACAATATCCCTGTCAGGGACCATCGCGACGCATGGGTCTACACAGGCGTAGGTGTCTGCCAAGACGTGTAGGTGGCAGGGCACTAGGACCCAGGCACACCCATCGTCTTGACAGTACTAGGCAGGCACTAGGACCTAGGCTACGCCTGTCAGGTGCAGGGCGGGCTATTTAAACCAGCTCTGCACAAACGCTTGTTGCCGAATGGTCTTTGTATGCTGTTACCTGTGTTGTGAGTATCTTGATCTGGATTGTTTGACCTTGCTGCCTTCTCCTATTCTGACCCTTGGCCTGCCTGACTCTGCTCCTGGATGTTCCCCTTTAAATCTGATCTTTTGGTATTGACCCTGCGTGTGACCTGACTATTTTTTGCCTACCGTTTTGTACCTCACCGACCCGCTAGTTACCGACCTGGCCTGTATGACTCTGATTTAGCTCATCCATCCCGCAGGGATCACTAGGCTCCCTCACATCAGACTCTTAGCCCCCTGGAGCTCCTGTCAGACTCCTCTACCCCTGTTGGAGATGCCTAGCAGCTGCAACCTGGTACCAGAGCGCTCCAAGTCCATCCCCACCATCAGGGGCCCTGGTGAACAAGTGCTCCGGTGCTTAGACTCTGCCCTCTGGGAGGCTCTGCCAGGGGATTGATAGAGGTGCTGTCAGGCGGTCCCTTACAATCCCAAAGTACTATCTAGATGTAAGAAATTTAGAAAGCTTCCAAAAGGAAATTGATAGGTTCCATTTCATTAATAGGTACATTTGGGCTATGCCTTGATAAAGGCCTAAGAAAAAGAATGATATTTAACCCTCAGTAGGAGAAGGCATTCAGCATTGATCTGGAATTGTTATAAGTTTTGAGTTTAATAAATGAAACATGTATACGTGATCACAATCCATTGCAGTACAGTTTCTTCAGAACCATTTTAGCCTGTTTAATGTCTCAGTTATTTAGCTCTTCAAAAAGAGGTATCATATTTACAAACCTTAAAAACAGTCCTCCAAAGTGATAGTAGTAGTAGGTGGAGTATCCCAAGTCACTTCGTGGGAAT